GTCATTGTTGTTTGGCGGGTCCGGGCTGGGGATTCGAACCCGCCACCTTAGGTGTACGTGGCTGGCGCCTTAGCTGGTTGAGCTATAGGCGCTGAGCCCATATTCTGTTTTCTTAGGGACACTCAACCCCACCTCCCACGCGGTCCCCAGGTGAGCCCCTGATTGCCACTGAACAGGTGAGAAAATGGAGGCAGGCTCCCTGGAATCTCAGAACTGACCCCCTAGAGCTTCACAAAACCCTAAGTCCAGCTTATTGGAGGAGAAAGAAGAGGGTAGAGATGGGAATGGGAGGTGGTTGGCCTTCCCCACCTGGCTTTTTCCCCTCCTCTACCCTTGCCTAAAAATCTCTTCTGGAAGAGTATGGGCAGCATTTCTTCTATCCTGAGGCCAAGCCCTTCCCCTTGGGTCATTATACACGCATTCATTCAACAAATATTGGGTGCCTGCTGTGGGAGGCAGATATGGTGATAGGTGGTAGAGACCCCATTGTGAGAAATTCACAGTGCCTGGCCTCTAAGAAGTCAGAGTTCACCCAGGGAGGCAGACATGTGCAGGTGAAATTACTGATACCAAGAAGCACAAGGTGCATTGAGAAAGTATACAGGTCTCAGTTCCTGTCAGGAGTACAGGAGAGAGAGAGAGAGCAAACCTTCAGGTTATGAGCAGGCAGGGACTGAACTCAGAGGCCCTACTCACTGCCCAGGAGTTTTCATTTTAAAATATTTTTAACCTTTAAAAAAAAAATCCCTCTTCGGGCATTATATTTAATCTTTAAGTATTAAATCAACTTCGTTTAGGTATAACCTATATACAATAAAATTCACCTAGTTTAAGGTTTTTTTTTATTTTAAACTTTTCTTTTTTTTTAACATCCTTGAGGAAACACTGGATTTCTTTCATTTCTGCTCCCATGGTGAGGTGCTGAGTCACTCAATAAATGTGGAACTGAATTAGCCTATGTGACAGAAAAAAGAGAAAAGGAAAGAAATTCACTTGAAACTGCCACCCAGCACTGTAGTAACACAGTGACTATCTTGTCTCCGGGGTTTCTGTGATTGGTTTGGTTTTTGCATATTCAGGACTCCCCCCATTCACCAAGCTACTTAATCCCTTATGCAGCAAGTGTGGTCCTTGGACCAGCAGCAGCATAAGCATCAGCTGGGAGCTAGTTAAAAATGCAGACCGGCAGGCCTGCTAGACCTGCCGATTCAGGATCTGTATTTTAACAAGATCCCCAGGTGATTTGTAGGCACATTCAAGTTTAAAATACAAACAATAATAACCATTTTTAAGTGACTGCCTTATGCAGGCCTTTATTTTAAGCACCTGAATACACACCATGTATAATGATAATGATATTTTGTATTGTCTACCAATTGTCACTCATATTACTTTTTTTTATTTGTGCCCAAACCCAAGAATGAACCATTATTTCTATTTTAATGTGTATCACGTTGTGTTATTATTCTCCAGTTTACACATCTGTCTCCCCCACTTACTAATTATGTTGTCTAGGCAAATCACTAACCTTTTAGTGTTTCTATTTCTTTTTTCATTTATAGAATGGAGACAATAATAGGAACTACTTGAAAAGATGAAATGAGACAATGCTTGTAAAGCACTTAGCACAGGTACTAGCCCACAGTAAGTGCTCAATAACCGTTTATTATTATTTCAATTTTTCAGTCTTATAAAAAGAATATGGTAGGGCCGGGTGCGGAGGCTCACACATGTAATCCCAGCACTCTGGGAAGCTGAGGTGGGGGGATTGCCTGAGCTCACAGGTTCAAGATCAGCCTGAGCCAGAGCAAGACCTCGTCTTTAAAAATAGCTGGGCAGGGCAGCACCTGTGGCTCAAAGGAGTAGGGTGCTGGCCCCTTATGCTGGAGGTGGCAGGTTCAAACCCAGCCCTGGACAAAAAAAACTGCAAAAAAAAAAAAAAAATAGTTGGG